GAAGAATACTCAATATTTAGAAACGACCCAAATTTCTAAGGCGAAAAAACCGCTTTTCTTCGAACCTTGCATTGAGTGAAATGATAAAAAAAAATGAACGCATACACATTCTATAATTATTGAAATACTATCCTAATTAGTATTAAGTGAATACATATGATATCAGTCTTAAAGATTTAGATCGATTTATCCGTTTTTGAATTATTTCAAAAGTTTCAGCTATTTCAATTTACAATTCTAAAGCTTCTAGCAAGCGTCGAGTAACAAAGTCCAAATAGTATATTTTGAGCTTTAGTTTGCTTTATATTAATGAAAAATGACTCTTGAATTAGTTTCATTGATGAAAGTATGTGTCATAGATTTCTTCTTAAATTCCATTGGTAAAAAAAGAAAATAACAGCAGATTTTGACTATATCCAATAGAATTTCGAGAAACATTCGTTTTTTTTTCAAATGTTCATCTTGATTTCATCAAACTTTGAAGTAAATGACGAGAAAGGACACATTTCAAAGTACTCAAAAACATTGTCACTTTTGTTTTATTATCTTAAGAGTTGTTTGAAATATTCTAAAGCATTTAGGAATTGTTCATAAAAAGGCATCCAGATAAAAATCGCATGCTTGTCTCTTCTTCTCGTTATTCAAATTTGTCCAGTTGTATTGACTTCCATTCTGGACGTCCAGTAGAGTCGTTCAGGTTCAAAACTTTCAGATTTAGATCCGGCTCACAGAAAATATTCAGGCCGGAATCCGATCAAGTCCTGGTTCGAAACCAATGCTCCTTGTTCTAACCTCAAGTATATAAAACCTTTTAAACAAAATCTCTTTGTTCAAATATACGACTTTTTTTTCATTAAATAACATTCCATTAAATAAATAAATGAATATAAAAAGGACAAAAAACACATTTCATAAACAGCAAACAAAAATCTAACCTACTGTAAAATATGTTTTTTTAAATGCATTTGATTTTAATGAGCAGAAAGCGGTAAAAAAATGAAATTCAACATCAATGTCACTCAAAAATCTCATATAACTGGTTTAGAATATAACAATCTACTCTTGTAGCATGATCTTGATTTATATGATGATCATATTCAAATTCAACTGATTCATTCAATTCATTTCCTACTTAAAAATACTTTTTAAAACAAATTATCCTTGAAAATATTGCCGAAAGTTATGTAAAACGAAAGAAAAATATTTCTACTAAGTCTCAGGACGTTCAAAAATGTTTGGCCTTCTCCTCCTTCATTACTTGGCTGTCCCTTATGGATAATATCTTACATGAAAATATCTTAAAAAGTTGGTCTGTTTAATTATTTTGAGTATTCTTTACTTCTTTTATTTTATTCCTCTTCTATTGAAATAAGTTCCATGAAGTTTTTATACGAAAACAGATCAATCGAAGAATTTGAAGAAAACATAAGTTATTGTTAAATCAATGAGTGTCATTATTCATGAGTTATTATATAGAATTGAATGATTTGT